GTTGGTCAAGGATGGAGGAGAATGTGATAAATTTCCCCCTGGCCTCAACATCCTCTCATACTGAGGTTCTGTGAAGTCCTCTGCCCCAGAAAAACGGCTCTGATGGATAGTCTCGAGTGGGCACTCAGGCTTCAGGGGGCAAAACCTGAAGCCTAAGACCAAGAAAAAGACAACCTTGTGAATGAGGGCCATGAATAACACCATCGTTGGGACTGGCTTTCCTGAGAGAAGCGTATATCTGGACCTTTTGTCCTTTGCATGGCGACTAGGGAGAAAGTGTGAGATGAGCGCATCCTACTGTGGAGGGAACTGTTCGCTGTTGTAGGACAGTTAGCTAGGGCTGGAGGAGAAGATGGCCTCCACCAGAAGTTCTTAATAACGGGATAAAGGGTCAAGCTGGTGAAGACTGAGGTAAAGCAGATTTCTGGTATAGTAATTATAAGTCTGTGGAAGTTCAGGAGCAGTGCATACCCTACCTCCTCCTTCCGTCCCTGCCCTGGGCCACTCCCTTCCCCACTTCCAGCTCTTAGTAGGGCACCAGCTGCTTGGATGTGGGCTGGGGTAACTGGAGAGGCTGGAAGGTGGAGACAAATGGGGAAATGGGAGCAGTGAGGAGGGGCTGTCCCTAGCTCTCCAGTCTTGTGGGGTTTGGGCAAGAAATAGATTCCTGCACTTGTCTGAAAAAACCTTGAAGCCTCTCCCACAGACAGGAATGACAGCAGTGTCTTACATTTGGAGCGTGATTAAATTTGTTCAGCAAAGTTACTGGAGCAGATCTGTTTCAAATATAACTGTGAACAGAACAACGACCCAAATGGAGTTCAGATTCTAGCAGGGGACAACCCACTCACAATAACAGAGTAGATAGTTACAGGATATGTTAAGGCGTGAGTGCTGTAGACTTGGCCATGTGATTATGGCAATCCTCATGGAGAAGCTGGGATGACTTGAAGGATTTGACACCATAGAAGTGGAAATGGCTGCAGAATGGTCAAAAAGAGAGGAAAATTTCTTGTTTACACCTTAGCTGCTGATGGGCAGACTGCCACACAGATGCCATGTGGGAACTGAGTTAACAGAAGGAAAGTGCTCTGGAATCTAGCGGTAGCTTGCCTGGTGTGACATGCCAGAATGACCTGCTCACCTCCTCACTGGGGCATCCCAAGGGACGCCCAAGATTTAGGGCATCTTGATCTGTGCCAGTGGCCGCCTGCTGGCTTTGTCTCAGTCCCGCTGGCTTTTCTTAGCAAAATGCCGACCTGCATGTGCCCGCTGTTCCTTGTTCAAAACTTCAACAAGAATAGACGCATCGTGGCTGCTGAGAGGCAGCAGCGCTCAGAGGATGCTTTGAAGGTCTTCGCCAGAGTCCACAGCTCTCAGAAATGGGAGGCGAACCCAACTGTGCCTTCCAACCAGCTTGAAGAAGCCCATCAAACAAATTCCAGTATCAGGAGTGTTTAGAAAAAGAAGCAGGATTGCTTTAGGATCCTGGTACTGCTTACAGCCTAGGCCTGACAAACATGCCACCTCGGGCAATGTTCCAGTCCCCCTGACGTAAGGGCCTCAGTGAGGCGGCTGCCAGGCAGCCATTGCTCAGCGCCCCCCTGGCCTCACTCTGCTCCCACTGAGAGACAAAGCCCAGCAAATGAAATGTTCTCATGAGAGGGGTCTTGGATCGAGGCCCTGATGAAATCATTCAGAGAGCAGTGACTGAGGTAGGACTAGTGAGTCTAGAAGTGGAGATGAACCCAGGGCACTGGTCTTGTCAGGGCCGCAAACCAGGCACTGGGGGGACCTGGAGGACAATGACAGTCACAGGGGCTACAGTACAACAGTTCTGACCAATGAGGCCTCAGGGTCGAGCAGGCAGGGGAGCAGGGCTGGAGCAGGCAATCTCCCCTACAGCACCGAGCTCTGTTCCCGTGTGGGCTCCCTCCCACCACTGTCCTCCAAATGCTGCTGAACCTTGTGCCTGTGTGAGCTCCCTCCCACTGTCCCCCAGATGCCACTGAATTCCCCACAGGAGGCCTGCCTTCTCCCAAGCCCTAGACACCACTGAATTCATGTGCTGGAAAGAGCGTCTGTGTGGTACACAGAGAAAGGTTGGTGCGGGTGGAAAGCTGACCACTGAGGAGTGGTGTGGTCAGTCGGGTTAGCACAGCATGGTAGCCTGGAGTGGCAAAGAACAGGGTAAGCAGCTACAGGGAGTATGACACAGACAGAAGGTGACAGAGACCAGGGGAGCCCCTCCAGAGATGTGGGGAAGACTGCACACTAGACCAGCCCTGGTTTCCCTCCCGCCCCCACACAGCCGAAGGTGTCCTGTCACTAGGCAGAAGCAAGAGCCTCCAGCCGCTTACACCAGTAGGAACACGGCTGCAACCTGGCAGGACTCCGCCGCAGAGGAACGGGAGGCGGCTGC